GCTTTGCTGTCTGGCATGACGTAACCAACAGAGAAGGAACATCCACTGAAGCAGAAGAAAAGCCAGAGAAGGACTGAGTCTGAAAAGCCCAAAGAAAATGCCATTTCAAGAAGGAGATTATGGTTATCGTGTCAAATATCACGACATATCAAGTAAGAGGAAAGCGGAAGCCAAACTATTGGATTTGGCAACATAGAGAGAGGTCAGTGGAGAAGGCAGGCCAGAGCCTGAGTTGAGGAGAATTAGAAAGTAAAATGGAGGAATTGGCTCTCACCGTGGACCACTCAAGAACATTGGCTGGACAGGGAAGCCGAGAGGATTGGAAGCAGCTGGAGCGGGATGTGAGGTCGGCAGGGACTGGGGGAATGTGTGTCTACGCAGGTGGGGACGATTCGGAGCGGGAGCAACCAAGAGGCAGGTCATTGTAATAGCAACGTCTTAGAGAAGGCAAGAAGGGAGGGAATCCAAGCACAAGTGAAAGGCTTGTCGTCTTTCCACGAGAGCAGGGACGTTTCACCCACAGCAGCAGTACAAAAGGCAGGGGCTCGGGGTGCAGATCCTGGGAGGCTTGGAACGTCATGGATGGCAAAAGGGAGGGTGCTCCTGTTTAAATGTTTCTACTTTCTCAAGGAGGGTCATGAGCTTGGGTGGGGCTTGGAAGAGGTGATGTGGGAGGTTTGAAGAAAAAGGAGAATGTTCGTTTTGGAGCATCGGGAGTTCTGTGGTTTCCAGGAAAAGCTGAGTATCCCTTTGAGAGGTGTGGTTTTCCGCATAGAGTGAGACAACTCAGGGTCTTGGTTTTTCTTCAACAGTGTAGGGCTACTTGTATGCAAAGTTACACAATTTGCAAGTGAAGAATTAAGAAAGGACACACGTGTTCTTTAAAACTTAATAAATGGAGTCTTTGAATAAAACTTTATAGCAAAGTAGCCTGGAGATTTCCTATTGAGTTTTATTTTGATTTAAGCATTGTGCTCATAAGTAACCATTTTCTGTTTTGAATTCAGTTTTTAGAATCGGCTTTTTTTTTAATTAAGGCTGTGTAGGAAGACATTTTTTTCATTAGTAGAGTTGTGTTTAAACAGTGTCATTATGTCATCAGATTTCTAGTCTGCCGTTTGAACTCATAGAATATATTCTAGCAGTTGCTGGATCATAGACTATTTTTGTGTTGACACCTATGGAACATCAGAAGTTTAAATATTAGAGCAAGGTGAGAATGAGTAAGTATAGAATTGGATTGATTTGAGAATATATGAAGGAGGGAGAAACTCATGGAAATAAAAGGTAATAGAATTTTTCCATGAGCTTTTTTTGAAGCTCCTTTGTATTATCATGAGATAAAATGGCAACCATGAAGAGTCGCTGAAATAGAGGACAATAACAAGACTGATGTGGATCCCCTCACAGGGGTCACAGGGAAGGGATGAGTCAATCAGGGTACAGGAAAGCACCCATGAAACATACAATACTCTTCTGGTTCCTTGAGGCTTCCCCCCCCCCCACTATCATGACCCTAGTACTGCCTTTTACTGCGGGTTAGACCCCAAAGCATGTGCACAGGTACAGATAAGACATAAGAGCTCACGACACACGGGATCCAGGAAGAGGAATGGGAGTATGGATACCAGGAGGGCAGGGGGTAGGTGGAGAGAGGAGTGGAGGAAGGGAGAACCGGTCAAGATGATCTGATCAACACATAACCACCCCCACCCACTCCACAGGGGCACGAACAACAGACACCATGGGGGAAAGGAGACCAGTTGGTGCAAGATGTGAAAATAATAATAATTTGTAATTTAACAAGGAGCCAGGAGAGGCAGGGGTGAGAAAGAGGAGCTGACACCAAGAGCTCAATAGAAAATAAATGTCTAGAAAATAATGATGGCAAAATATGTACAAATGTGCAATTGATGTATGGATTGTTACAGGAGCCATTAAGAGCCCCCAATAAAATGTTTAAAATTTTTTTAAAAGACTGACATGGAGGAGACAGGGAATTTTGTTAGCGCACATGGATTTATTTTACTTTCAACTCAAAAGGTTTGGGGTCCATTTCACTTTGAGGGGATGTGAAAGACGTGCTGTGGGGTATAAATGATGATGAACTGGTAAGGAACAAATAAGGTATGTGGTAAACATTTCAAGGGAATGATAAAGGCTGCTAACACTGGTGCAGTACGTACTATGAGTGTATCCCAGGCAGTTTAGGGGATTTGTGCGACTTTTTATTGAGTTTGGTGAAAGTTTGCAGGGCAGGTCGTCAGTTTCACGTTCAACAATTCATACATTCTGACCCAACTCATCCATTACAAGCCCCTCAGTGTACATTGCTCATCCACTTCCTCCCTGTTTCCTGTTCCCATTCCAACTCCTTCTCTCCATCCTCCGACGCCTGCCCTTGGGAAATCGTACCCTTTTGATCTTCAGTAGTTGATTAATCTAGCATGGGGTATGTTCTGTTCCAAACCTGAAGGGTGACCAAGGGTCGTAGTCTTGGGGGTCCCACCAATCTATCCAACCAGTAAACCTGATCTCTTATGATTTGGACTTGTAGAAAAATGCTTCACATTTTTCTCTTACTTTATCCAGGACCTTCTAATGTTCTGCTTTCCAGAGCAGTTAGTAGTGGTGTTAGGTTCCTGGATTGGGGTACCTCGGTTTTGCTTCATGGTGCTGAAAGAATTCACGTGGCAGAAGCACATTTGTAATCCAAGTGACTTCTATGAGGACAAGGGAAGTTTCTGGTTTGACAGTCTTAAAAACCATGTACTGTTTCTGGAAAGCATACAGGCCATGCGGAGCCACGCAGGAGTTCTTGTCTAAACGCAGAAAATCACTTGGAAAGCATACTGGAACCAGAGCACGAACCCCGCTTGCAGCACTAGGAGACCCCAGAGGCCTAGAGGGCTGTGGGCCCATGTAGCCCGGGCCGGCATGCAGGTGTGTGCGTGCTGGCATGCTGGAGGGGCTCCGACAATGCCTGCAGAGCACACCGGGACAAGAGAGAGATGAAGCCTGCCTGCGGAATGTTTTTACCCCCACTGGCTGGGGAGGTGTGGATGAGGTCACTGGCCGACCCTATTGGCTGAGTTAGGCACACCTGTGTGATGTCTTGTGCCCAGGTAGACCTCCCATCAGCCTAGGGGGCTTGTGTCTGAGCATGCTCAGTTTGGATCTTTCCATAGGTGCCTGGTGGGTACCTGATTTCTTTCTAACTCCTTTAGTCGTGGTCCTATGCAGGCATAGGGGAGATAACCCCCCTTAATCCCTATTCTGGCTATCTGACAGGGTAGGTAGACACCGTCTAGTTCTTGTCTCAGGGTTGAGGGACTGAGGTTTATGTTTCCAGGTGTCTTTTGCTTGTCCTTACCCGTCTTTGTTCTGGGCAGGGAGAGACCAATAGTTGTGCCTTAAATGGATGCCATGAGTTTTTCCCCCTTGAGAGCACTAAAACCCACAACATATATGAGATGAGTAGTTTCCTCCATCTGATACAGATAAGGAAAAGGAGGCACAGGGAGATTTGGTAACTTGCCCCAAGTCACAGCTAAGGCAGGAGGTGGGGTCGGAGGGCATAGTCAGACTCATACTTGGCTCTTGTGCATATCATCTTAAACAGCACATTGCCTCAGAACCTAACGGATGCCTTTTAAGAGTGGGAAATAAAATGTGTTCCATTCTCCGTTTACTCAGGTACAAAATGATCTCTGAATTCACCTGGCCCAACCATGACCTACCTTCAGACAAAGAGGCTGTCAAGAAACTGATGGAACACTGTAGGTTTCAGGATGATGTAGCCTATGGGAAGACCAAAATCTTCGTTCGCACTCCTCGTACATTGTTTACCTTGGAAGAACTCCGTGCCCAGATGCTTGGAAGGATCGTCCTCTTTCTACAAAAGGTAATTTTATAATTACATGCAAGAATAAAGTCCTGCTTCAATGTTCCTAAAGATTTGGTTGCATCTTTTACGGTCATTCAAGAAGTGATCATGGACAGTATGTTTGTGTGTGTCTATGTACATCTCAGAATGTTGTCTGTTGACTTGTTTGGTTGCCTACGTTCAAAATTATTTTATCCCCCAAATTCTTATGGCATTTCCCCCTGCCCTTTCCCCTCTGTTTCATGGTTGGGGCATACATCGTAAAGCGTGAACCGTCAGCCATCTTGACATGTTCCATTCCGTGATTACAAGTTAAACTAAACTTTTGTTTGGTTTTAAGAAGACGTCCAGGATTTTTTGGTACAAACTTTCAGGATTATCTCAGGACAATAGTTATAGGGGTTCATCCAACCTCCGTGGCCTGGGAAAGTCTGGAGTTCATGAGAACCTAAAATTCAGTTCTCTAATCTCCCTCTTTGATCGGGATTCTTCTGTGGGATCTGTAATTGAAATGCTCACTGATGACGCCAGCCATCATCCACCTGTTCAGCTCTCAGGGCAAGGTCGCTGTTCTCTTTTGTCTTCTGGTATTTACAATTGGGGAGAGATGTCAACCAGCCTAATTTTTGTTTTAAATGCTTACCCTATAGTTTCTGGTGTTTATTTTGTCCTGTGACTCAAATTCTTTTATAACATGTTTAAAATAACCTCCCTCAACCATCATGATTTTCATCATCGTGTGGCCCCACGTGTGAAGTGTTGACTTAATAATGCCTATTGGGAATCCAGGGGGGACGATCCCTACAGGGCCAGTGGTGAGAGTGGTGATCTTGGGAGCGTAGAAGGAGGGTGGGTTGGAAAGGGGGAACCGATTACAAGGATCTACATGTGACCTCCTCCCTGCGGTACGGACAACAGAAAAGTGGGTGAAGAGAGATGTCGGACAGGGCAAGATATGACAAAATAATAATTTATAAATTATCAAGAGTTCATGAGGGAAAGGGAAGTGGGAGGGAGGAGGAGAAATGAAGAGCTGATGCCAGGGGCCGAAGTGGAAAGCAAACGTTTTGAGAATGATGAGGTCAGTGAATGTACAAATGTGCTTTACACAATTGATGTATGTATGGATTGCGATAAGAGTTGTATGAGCCCCTAGTAAAACGATTAAAAAAAATTAGCATCGGAAAAAAAAATAATGCCCATTGGTTCATGGTGCATAGTATCTCATTGATCCATGTTGGGGCTCACTCACCCATGTATTTTTATTCTCTCTATCCATTCTCATCTATACCATTTTAATGTAAAAAAATACATAGGTTTATATAAAAAGTATGTACCTCTGTGAGAATATATATACCTAGGGATCTATATCTAGGAGAACAATTGCAGGGTCATTGGGTATACATGTACTTATTTGGTCAAAGTACTCCCAGGTTCCTCTTCAGAATGGTTCTGCCAGTGTCCACCAGCTGCACATGAATGACTAACTTGACATACCTAACTAGCTGTAGATGACAGCTGTTATAGCACATCTCCGAGACTGTGGGCCAATTCTACCTTGTCCTACAGGGTACCCTTAAGTCAATGTTGACTCAGTGTCAGTGAGTTTGATATCACATCTCTGTCAATATTATCCAACTACCAATATTTTGCCAGATTAATAGATATAAATATTTTATATTTCTCTGATTTGAACTTGAGCATCTCATTAAAAACCTATTTGCTTTTTTTGTTTTTCCTATAAACATTTGTTTTTCTATTGGAGTCAGTATTTTTTTTCTTCTTTTCTTAGCAAAATTGCTTGAATATTTTCTGTATTTAATGTCATAAAATTTAGACATTATAAATTTGTTCTTCTCTCTTGTGGGAATTCTGGTGAACTTTGTCCATGATATCCTTAATTGAACTGAACCCTTATTTTGATAATCGGAGCACTTTCTCTGTTTCAAAGATATTCTTTACTTCTTTAAACTGTATAGTTTTACCTTTCCTATTTGGATCTTTAATTGTAAATAAGCACATGGTTTTATATAGAATCCAGTTTTCATCTTCCTCCTTATGATGAGCCAGTTCTCTCGGCACTAGCTACTAAACAATCTGTACATTTCCCATTAAAATGTGATGTCACTTTTATCATATATGAAATTGCCATGTGTAGGTGTCTGTGAGCCAGCTGTTCTGTTCCACTTTTCCAGTTGCCCGATTTTACACTAAAGCCACACCATGTTTATTGTAACCTGTCTTCATGTATGGTAGGATAAATCCTTCTTTATTCTTTTTTATTAAGGGTGATTAGCCTATATTATACGTAGACCTGTATTCTGCCATATAAATTGTAATGTGTGTTTATTGAGCTCATTAAATTCAACAGTCATTTTTATTAGGATTCATCAATGTTTTAAAATAATATGAGAAAACTATCATTTTCACAGCATTTAACCATCTCATTAAGAACATCGACTAAATCCCCTCCCAAAAAGAAGAGCAAACCCACAGCTGTCCAGCTGATCCCAAATAATAGTGGCCTATCACAATCTCCATCTTCCCTGTCTCCCTTCCTCCCCCAAAAAACAATGCCTCCCTTCTATTTATAGTTTATTTATTATGTCTTCTTTCTCAAGAATACTGGAAAATGGAGCTCTGGCTTCTGTCTGCTCTAGTAACGTACTTTCACACATCTGTTATTCTGGGTCACCAAGTTCCTTGTCTTTGACCTTCATTACATATCTGTGGTTTGAGGGGATTGTTTTGTTTTATAGACCTGGTATTAGGTCTTTCTTCTTTCCACCTATCCAAGAGATTGATTCCGATTCAGAGTTTAGCCATGAACTTCCATGGCCAGGCCTCTCACTTTTCTTGGGGTAGTGCTGGTTTGTGACTATTCCCTGATGTGTTGAGTATTAGAATGACTTTCCTCTCCAATGGCAATACATATTATATAATCAATGAACTCACTCTCTATCCACTTGGTAGCTGGTAAAACCCTCTTCTTTCACAATCCATACATACATCAATTGTGTAAAGAAAACCCTCTTCTTACTCTGTGTGGCAGTTTGATGTTCACTCTTTCACCATCCTCCATGTCTGGCAGACTTTATTCCATTACAACTCAACTAACAAAGATGAGGTCGGCCACCTTCCCCTTCTGTCTGCATAGTCCAGCTCATACATAAAAAGGAAGAATTCCATAGTTTCAGGAACTGAAACTGTGAACCTTCAGTTCCCTCTGATAGAGCCTTGCTTCTAGAAATGTAGTGTGCCATTACCAATTCTCACCGCCCAACCCGTACTCCTTTCCTGGTGAGAAATTGCCATGTCTAGCTAGAAAAAAATGAGATTCTAAAAGACAAAGAATGGCTGCTTCAGTTACTATCACTCCTGCAGTGTCTTCCCTGCCCAATCTTGTCTGATGTATAGATCTTGCATTTCTTCACCATTACACAGAGGGAAAGAAATAAGGGTCTTCCTGCCTATTCTCAGGCAGGCCATTCCTACTGATTGACAAATGCATGTAGAATCTATATTTTTGGAGCCAACCCCACAGGCCATAAAATAAGTAGAAATTCTTCTTCTCTCACCTTTTGGAAATAGATCTTCAGTCACCTTTCTTTTTTTTTTTTAATCATTTTATTGGGGGAACTCGTACAATTCTTATCACAATCCATACATACATCCACTGTGTCAAGCACATTTGTACATTTGTTGCCATCATCATTCTCAAAACATTTGCTTTCTACTTGAGCCCTTGATATCAGCTCCTCATTTCCCTCCTCCTTCCCTGCTCCCCACTCCCTCATAACCCTTGGTAATTTATAAATTTAATTATTTTTTCATATCTTATACTGTCCGACATCTCCCTTCACCCACTTTTCTGTTGTCCATCCCCCAGGGAGGAGGTTATATGTAGATCCTT